TGAGATTCCCTCTTCCTAGTGACTCTAGTTTGTGACAAGTTGGTGAAAACTAACCAGCATCGTCATCTAACATTAAATCCATTTTGAAGCTTTCTCAATTTGCATTAAAAAATCTGTAGCTTTTATCATTTGCTTACTATATCTCAGAGGGATTTAATTTTTATAATTATTTTATTTTTTGAGGGTTTTATATGGAAGTATGGTATTTGTATCATTTCCAGCCTTCCCACAGCCCCTCCACTTCACCCTATGTCCTCCATTCTCTCTCAATTTCTAATCTACTTCTTTGATTATTATTGTTGCATATGCAAACATCCACTTACATATATAAATATACATAATTATATTTATGGTATTATGTGTACATGTGTTTAGGGCTGACCACTTGAGATTAGATAACCTACCAAGGAATTTGTCAATGAAAAAAATTAATTCTCCCTCCATCGACTGCCTGTGGGATAACATGACAATAATGGATTTAATTTTTTGAATGCATTGCATTTTGATATTATTTTAGGTAATGATTAAAGTATGTTGAAGATTGAACAATTTTTTAACTCATGTGGGATAAGATATGGTCATATGTGTTGTCTCCATGAATACTTTTTAAAAAGTTTCTGCCTTAGGTGTATAAATATGATGCTACTTAGCTTTGTTTTATTATTCATATACTTTAGGTCATTTTACCTCCTTGCATTTTCATCTTTTTCTCCCATGTCCTCTTTTTTTACTCATTTAATGCTTCCTCCATTGACTTACCAGGATCCTGGGTAACAATTCCCTTGCACAAATGAGCTCATATTGGCGATCCCAAGTCTCTGTGGTATCATTTGGTCAGTGCTCCTCTGGGTGCCAATTAGTTGTATCTTCCACAGTAACAGCACGCATATAGATGTTTATGCACAAAGTAATGATAGTTCTAACAGGGAGGTCCATTATGGTCAAGTATTTGGAAATTGTCAAACCTTGAAATGTCTGCACTAGTGGCAACTATAGAAATGGTTTAGGGATGGTGGAGTACAATATCTGAAGTCCCCCTGGGCCAGTATTAAATAGACATTTTTTTCTAGCTAATGGATCATTTTCTAAAGAAATCAATTAAATATTATCTTGCACCAGAGAAGATGCTTAAGGTAAATTGAATGAGCAAAAATTAAACAAATGAGAAAAAAGATGCAAAGTCAGAAATTTAAATTTCTTTTTTAAACTCTAAGTTTAAGATCCAGAAACTAAGAGTTAGAAGAATAAGACACATTTGCTGTGGACTTTATTTCATTTCTTAGCATGGAGCAGAATACCTTTGCTTTCTCTATTAATCAAAGAGTAGTAAGAACTGTCTCTTCTGTGAAAAGTTAAAATCCTCTAGGTGGATATGGACAATGACGGCTTGGCAACTCAACCAGGATGCTCCAAACTTCAGGTATTATATGGATTTACCTTTCCCCTATCAGGTTTATTTTAAAAGCCATAAGGAATTATAGATGCATTTGAAATAACCTAAGAAGCCCAGATGCTTGTGAATGCCAAGAACAAATCTCCTTTCTCATTTAGAACTGCCTACTATGCAGAGAGTGGAATGTAAGGCAAAAGTGCACCAGACAATTGAAATATCATGAGAGAAAAGCAGAGTCTTCTCTTGCTGTTGGATAAGAAGTAGATCAGAGTATCAGCTAACCCTCACTGTTCTGATATGCTGCTTCTACTTTCGTGGTCTTAATTTCTCTAGCTATGAAGATGTGGTTGTGATAAATACCAAATAAGACAGTATACAGACAGGGGTATTGTGTAGTGCACATAGTTGTTACTGGTTTTGTTTGGGTTCAGGTTGGGTTGTTATTGCTATAAGTAGCTTATCAGTCACCCCTACAGAGTCCTTTGCTCTCCCAGGAAGTCTTTAAGCTCAGATGTGAGGTTTTATATTGAAAAAATTAGACCTATCTCTTAATCTGCAACACATGTTCTGATTTCTTTGGGACCACAGCCTTGGTCATTCTGACTTTTTTCTACTTCAAAAAATTATACAATCATGCTACTTACTTGATAATCTTATCGTGTACATTTTCATTATTTACATTGAGTATATATACCAAAATATCAGAGTTAAGAGTACTGAATGTGTTAGTACTTCAATAAGGTCACAGTGTCCATTGGGCATAGTAAACATCTAGTGAATACTCGTTCATTAATTACAAATGGTTGTGATAAATGTCATGGTAACGTTTTAATAACATGACAATTACATCACAAAAGGAATTAAAGAAATAGATTAATGAGAAAAGAGGCCTTCCATGGGATATGAAATATAAGTAACTAAAAATGAGGGACAACCAAAGGAATACTGACAATGGATTGCCGTAGATGAGGGGCAGCTGACCCTCCTGGAACAGGGACCTCTGGCTGACTAGATTTACCAGAAGGGCAGACAGGGGGGAATGGATGAGGGTGCTGACAGCATGGTGGACAGTGACAGGGATGGCAGAGTATGGAGCCTCTAGTGGGAGAGGAAGGCTGTCTATCTGACGAGTTTGTATTCATGCTCAGATGCCGAGGAGCTCAGAAGGTGGGCGACTGTGACCAGTGATAGTCATGTATATAGAGATTAGAAATGCATGTGAAAACATCTCAATGTCAATTGC